CCCCAAAACCCCAAAACCCCAAAACCCCAAAACCCCTATTTCCAATCAAAACTGAAATTTAATAAATTAACACGTATTCAAAATGAACAAAGACGAAGCTGAACGATGCATCGATATCGCAAGGAAGGCAATCAACAAAAGTGACTATCATAAAGCCATCAGGTTCCTTAACAAGAGTAAGAAGCTTCATCCCACTCCTGAGGCAGACGGGCTAATCCAGTTATGCGAAATGAACCTGAAGCATAAGCCTGCCAGCGCTCCTTCAGGATCCATGTCTTCTGACGGCCCTTATAAAAGAAAGGCACAGGACAAACCTGCTGAGGAAGAACCTAAGAAAAAGAATTATACTGCTGACGAAGTCAAGCTGTGTACCCAGATTCTTCAGAAAACTAATTATTATGAGATCCTTGGGGTTGAGAAAAAGGCAACAGAAGCTGAGATTAAGAAGAAGTATAGAAAATTAGCCCTAAGGCTCCATCCTGATAAGAATAATGCCCCTAAGGCAACTGATGCCTTCAAGAAAGTCTCAACTGCATATATGTGTCTTAGTGATGCCAAGAAGAGGGATATCTACGACCAGCATGGTACTGAAGATAATTTTAGGCAAAATTATGGTCAATATTTTAGAGAAGAGGAGGAATTTGACCCATTTGACTTTTTTGACATCTTTACAGGAGGCAATATGTATAATCAACGTGTAAGAAGAAATAATTACCAAAGAAGACAGCATGCACAGAACCAAGGAAACCAAAACCAGAATCCTTTAGCACAGCTAGCTCCTCTATTTTTCGTGTTTTTGCTAATGATTCTTGCGAACATTGGTGGGAATTTTGCGACAGGCTCAAGCTATTCATTCACTATGACTTCAGAGTTCAACCAAAAATTAATATCTGAAACTCACCATGTAAAATATTACGTTGATCAAGATACTTACAACAGTCTGATTCAGAACGATAGAGAAAGATATAATATTGAGGGTACGATTGAGCAAGATTTCTACAAGCAAAACTTGAAAGAATGACGATATAACAAAGATGTCCAAAGCCATTGGATTCGTCAAGCGAGGTACTACACTCAAGGGAGCCATAAGTACAATCAAAATATAGAAAAAGCTAACCTGATAGACCTCTCTTCCTGAGAAGTTGTACAAAAAATGAAGGAAACTTCAGAGTAATTATTCTTAAATTATATAGTAGAAGTAATAGGTACTATAACAGAAGAACAGGATGGTAATTTTCATAATAAATTATGTAAAAGTTCACTCAAATTAGTCTTTAGTTGTTGTTTGGAGACTCATATGCTTCTTAATTGCTTCAAGATCAACTATTTCTTGACCATCATTTCGTTGGGTAATTTGTGCTCGTTGAGGTTTGTGAGAGATCATCTCCGTGCTCTGGGGTGACTGTGAAACAGATAAATCCTCACTAAACTTATTGTCATTTTCTTGGGCATTTTGTTTTTCATCTTCATCGGATTCAGTACTTCAGTCATCTTCATTCCTAACTGAGGAATTTTGAATTTGCTCTTGTAATAAATGCTGATTAGGAGACTGATCAGCTAAAATCTCATGTTCAGGTACTACCTGAGCTGAAATTTGAATGGATTTAGATGTAGTCTGGGAATTTGTCAGCTTAACTTCTGATCCTTCATTACTAACTATTAACTTCGAAGGATCTTCAATGATTTCAACTGTATTTGTATCATTCTTTGATATAGTCTGTCCCTCTTGATCATGCTTTGGTAGACCAGTAGTATTTATAACTTCTATCTGCTGAGCTTGAGATCCCTCATGAGCATTATTTGATGCCTTTTCAAGTACTTTCTGCTCTATTTCACATTGCTGTATCTTCATCTGGTCATTAGCTCCACTCTCTCTGTGTTGGATTAAATTCTGAGACTCAGTGCCAAGACATCCTAGGCCGGATTCACTTATGCTTGCTGAATTCTTAGGCAAAGTTGGAGTGTCTGAAGTCTCTAAATTTTCTCTGACTATTTCAAGGTCTTTATTATTATTTTCAGTTCTGGGTTTTATTTCAATCCTCTTGTCAAACTCTGGGGTTTTGGGGTTTTGGGGTTTTGGGGTTTTGGGG